GCCCGCGCCTCGCGCCCTGGCGCCCTAGGGCCTACAGGGCCGGTCGGGCTTGCATCAGGTCGAGGACGGCAGGTGGAAAATGATCCCGCTCGAGGAGTACCAGCAGCTGCACAGAGTTGCCCCGCAGGTGAGCGGGCGACAACGCTAACAGCGCCCCTCCCCTCTTGGCGGGCTCGGGCGAGGAGGAGGATGAAGGAGGATGATTTTTTTTTGCGACCATGAAATGCCCAGACCCACCTTCGACGCAACTTCCGGACCCACCCTCGACCGCGAAATGTCCAGAGCCACCCTCGACCACAAAATGTCCAGACCCGCCCTCGTCCAGAGCCAGGCCGCCTATATAGTGCCCAGTGCCCAGAGTCAGGCTGCTTTGTGTTTGGCGGAGGGCAAGGGGCATGGGGGATGAGGATCATCAGTCGGATGATCCAGACAGGTGGGAGTAGCGGAGTTGCTGGCGCAGCGCATGACCGTGGCTTGGTGGAGTGGCACGGTGCTGACGCAACGCAAGATCATTGTCCCGCCGCGCTTCGTCGAGAATGGTAGGGCGTCCACGCTTTACAGGGCAGTTGACAGCGGGTGCGGGCAGCTCGACTTGAATGGGATCGCCGAGCTGTGCGAGACGTTGCCCTGGGTCTTCCTGGCCGAGAACCCCGACAACGCGAAGCCCAACCGCCGGAAGATGTGGGCTACCCATGCTCGTCTGCCGAAGAATTGCCTCTACGTGCCCATTGGGTGTTGCGTGCACTCGTGCTATCGCGTCGTAGAGGCGGCGACTCCCAAGGCGGGTAAATTCTAAAAGCTTCGCTCACCGTACCAGCCCATCCAGAAAAGAAGTTGGGGTGATCAGGGAAGTGCGGGAGGAAAGAGGGGGGCGGCCCCACCGTGCCATGGATGGAGGAGGAGAAGGAGGAGGCTGGATGGATGGATGGATGGGGTGCTCGAGGGTGGGTCTGGAAGTTTCGTCGATGGTGGGTCTGGAGATTTCATGGTCGACGGTGGGTCAGGACATTTCGAGGTCGCCAGTGGGTTTTGTCATTTCGTGGTCGAGGGTAGGTCGGGCCGCTGCTCAGAAGTCGGGCTGCCACGGCCTCGCTCCAGCTCAAATTCCTTCCACTCACTCAGTTCCGCGCGGGACCGCCCGACGATGCGCGAGATGCTGCCCCCAAGAGGCTCCCAGAGGGCTCCCAAGAGATCCCAGAAATCGCTCCATTGAGATGCCGCGGCATCTTGCTGCCCGAGACCTCCAGGAAGCCCCCGAGAGCTCCAGGGTGCCCCCGAGAAGCCCCAACGAGGCGTCCAGGCAGCCCCAAGTTGCCCCCAAGAAACCCCAAGAGGCCCACAGAGGGCTCCCAAGATATCCCAGAAATCGCCCCCGAGCGAGATGCCGCGGCATCTTAATCCTGGAGGCCTCCAGGTCCAGGAGGGGAAGGGGGGGTAGGGGGGTCGGGGGAGGGGGAGAAAGCTCCCTAAACCACCTACGCCCAGAGGGCTGGTGGGATTCACTCTAAGCGGTGATCTGTATGCATTGGTGTACGTGTGCCACATCTACAGCCACGTGAACCAGCTCTACAAAGCACTCTTGGCTGTTATCGAGAAGGAGCTCGATATCGTCCACGAGTGGGAGGTCACGGATCAGCAGCGCGAGGAGTGGGAGACATATTCCAGGGCGTTGGTGGGGCACACCGTGATGCGGCACACGCTTCACACAAGGGCGCGACTGGAGGATTTCGGCGATGGTGATGATGCGTTCAAGCTCGGCAAGAGAGAGCTCAGCGAACGGGGGTCCGTGGAGACATTCTAGACGCTTCGCGTACCCCCGCCAGCCAATCCAGAAACGATGCCGCCCCAGGAAAGCTGACGGAAGGCTGGAAGAAGAGACGCACATAGTGCAACAGAGCGGGCAACAACGGTGAATTAGGAGATGTGTTGTGGCGAAGGTTGCAAGTGTTGTTGCTGGTGCTCTTGCTCCTGCTGGCACTGCTGCTACTAGTAGACTAGTGCTGCTGTAGTGTTACTGCCGTTGCTGTCGGCGCCGCTGGTTCTCGAGGGGCGGGGGGGAGAAGAGGGGGGAGGGAGGGGCAGGAAGAGGCGGATAAGGATTTTCTTCGAGGGCCCACGGGCAGCACATCGCCGGCAACGCGACGAAAACTACCCGCAGTTTTGATTCCAAGCGCCGGGGAAGAGAGAGCAAACACTGTCCACAGTTTTGAGTCCAAGCGCCGGCGAGGGGCAGAGGGCCTTAGGCCGATCCTGCTCCTGGGGGCCTCTTGGGGCCATCTTGTGGCCATGTTGGGGCAATTTGGGGGCCTCTCGGGGCCTCCCGGGCGCCTCTTGGGGCCATCTTGGAGGAGATCGATCAAAGAAGAGGGTGGAGCCAATTAGCTTCGCCCCTCTACAGCCTCTAAAATCGCCTCCTGGACCCATCTTGGGGCGCTCTTGGGGCTGTCTTGGGGCCCTCTTGGAGCCATCTCGAAGCCTCGGATGGCCCGGATGGCCATCGGATGCGAATAGGTGAGAAGGCAAACATCATTGGTTTCCATTAGGTTTTTGAAGGATTTTTTTTGTTTCTTGGAGGCGCCCTTGGGGAGCTATTTGGCTTCTTGGAGCCGTCTTGGGGCGGTCCTGGGGCATATTGGAGCATCTTCGGGGGTATATTGAGGCATCTTGGGCTATCTTGAGTCGTCTTGGACTCTTGGAGGTCATCTTGGTTTCTCTGAGGCGCTCTTGGAGCCGCGTTGGGCCATCTTGGACGCTCCAACGCGTCGCGCCCCCCCCCCCGCCCAGGTCCAGGGGCGGGGGCGGGGGGAGGGGCAAACCCCTCCCCGAAGGGGAAGAAGGAGGTTGGAATCGGAAATGCCCTAAACCACCTGCGCCCAGAGGGCTGGTCGGTTTGCTCTCGGTGTGCAACGGGGACCTGACGTCGTCCAGGGTGACGCACATCTGCGGTGGTCGCTCGTGTTGCAGCTCGCGATCCGAGACGACAGAGAAGGTCGTGGCTGCCCTGATGGAGAACAACTTCTTGTTGAGTAAGGGCGGTTTGCCATCCGAGAGCAGGTGGGGTAGCGTGTCCAACACGAACAGTTTGGCAGCGTTTGGCCTGATGTTCCATGATGGCCTATTGCGGCGCGTGTGGAAGCGAGCGTACCCGACATGGGAGTCGGGGTCTGCCGGCTTGGACCTGGAGGATCCGGAGAACAGCGAGGATTCTTCACGCTTCGCGTATCCCCACCAGACCATCCCAAAACAGTGGCCAGGCGAGTTGCCCTCAGGCATGTGAAGCAGCATTCGGCCCAGCAGCGATCCGCATCCGACTTTGTAAATTGTTCGAGAGAGGAGGAGGAGGAGGCGGAGGGGGAGGAGGAGGAAGAGGAAAAGGATAAGGGAGAAGGGGAATATGACCTGGATGCGGGACGAGGGAAGAAGTACCGACGACGGAAACGACGACGACGACTACGACGACGACGACGACAGCATCGTGCCATCGAGGCCTTGCCGGTCTTTCGCTCAGGGTGCCTCTTGGAGGCCTCTCGGGGCAGTATTGGAGCCATCTTCGAAGCTTGGGCGGCCTCTGGGGGCGCTCTTGGGCCTCTCTTGGGCCCTCCGCGGGGCCTCTTGGACCCCTCTTGAGAAAGTTGGGAGCCGTCTTGGGGCCATCTTGGAGCCATCGGGCGGAGAGGGTGGGGTTCTTGAGTGCGCCGTTTATTTGAGCCTCTCATGGGGCCTTTTTCTGGGTCATCTTGGAGCCATCCATCTTAAATTACCCAAGAGCCCGTCGGAAGCGAAAAGGCGAGAAGGCAAACGCACATAGCAAACCGCACGGTCTTTGCAGGGTTTTGGGTTCTTGGCAGCCTCTACGGGGGGCACGGAGAGCACTTAGAGCCCTCTCGGGGCGGTCTTGAGGCCTCTTGGAGGCATGTTGGAGGCCATCTTGAGACATCTTGAATCTTCGCCCTGCGGGCGTCTCAAAGGGCTCAAGAGGTGGCCCAATGGGGCGCGTATAACGGCCCGGCGCGGTGCGTATAATGCCCCGGCGGTCGAGGCTGGAGCACGGCGCATTATACGGCGGTGGAGGGGGGCTCCAGGACCCAGGGGGCGGGCGGGGAGAGGGGCTTATGATAGGTTAGAATAATGAGCTCCTTAGACCACTCACGCCCTAAAGGGCTGGTGGGATTTCCATTTGACGTTGCGCCGCAAGGTGTACAGGGTCGAGAAGTTCTTGACTGAGAGGGGCGAGCGAGCTTGCATCATGTCCGTCGTGGCGGAGCCGCTGGACTGGTTGTGGCATCGGCTCCAGTACTTAGACGAGACTGGGTCGTCTCTGCTGGACATCGGTTCTCTGGATCGCAACCCGTTCAGGAAGGCGCAGGTGCAGCTCGGGAAGTTGCTGTCGCTGCCGTTCGACCAGACGGCCATGTCCTTGCTGTGGCTGAGGTGTCCAGGGACCGCAATGCGGACGCGTGCCCTGCGCCGCTTGTCCCCGCCAGCCTATCCAGATACGATATACGATTTACGATGTGATATGCGTCGTCGTCGTCGTCGTCGTCATCGTCGGGGGGCCCCTCGCCGCTCGGCCGGCTGGCAGCGGAGGCAGACAGCGGCGACGGCGGCGGCGGCGGCGACGGCGACGGCGAAAATAACCAAGTGGGCCAGGAGTTGGAGGAAGGGCCTCCTTGGACTCTACACCTTAACGTCGGACCCCTTGGCCCGTTGCCCCTCGGTCCGCTTGCAGCGGGCGCGTGTTCGACGGAGTCTAAACGGTCGCGAGGCCCTGTGGCACTCTAAACTTTCAAATTCTCAGCGGCCGCAAGGCTTTGTGGCAGTTCAAACGGTTGCGAGGCCCCGTGGCGGCCCGTGGCTTTTAGCAATCTAAACGGTCGCGAGGCCTTACGGTACTCCCAACGAGGCCCCGTGGAGGGGATGTTTGGTGAGGTTGAGGAGGTCCACGGGTAGTAGGAAAAGGAGGCAGACAGAGGTTAGTTTTGCGTGTTATCATGCCTTAGGTGGAAGGATGAGTCGCCCGCCCTCAAGTTGAAGCACTTGGAGGACACGCGGGTAGCTTTGCTGGGCATCTCTGCGCAGATATATTGGCGCTTCGAAGTTCCGTTTGGTTCGTGGCCGTATCGATTGCTCCCAATTGGGGACCCGCACGCATCGGCTTCGACCAAGCGAGCGGTTGCAGAGGCCCTTTTCCGCGAGCCTGGTTGTTGCCTTGATACCGCATGTTCTCGGAAGCTCAGGGACGCCTACACCGACTCGGCAGCATTTCTTGCGGACGACGAGGTGAGAGATCTGATCATGAGTTGGGCTGTAACTGGCACTGTCTGCAGCATGGATATCGAGAGGATTTTTGCTTCGATCCGGCTGTCCGTGCCAGAGGGCGCGCCCTTTGCGGAGCGGGTGGTTGCGAACGGCACGCTCACCCAGGTGCAGCGCTTACACCGCGAGCATGGGGGCATCGATGCCAACACCTTCCGACGCAGTGACGCTGTGAAGATGGACATGCCCACGGTCGCGAACGTGGAGACGGCGATTAGGAGGCCGCTAAAGGCCAGAGGAAACATCTTGTTCATGAGGCGGGCCATTGAGGCGGAGAGGGCTGCTCTCCCTGACGGGCGCACTAAATTTACTAAGCACGAGTTGCAGGCTATCAGGAAGGCTGCGTCCAAGGAGTACACGAAGCTTTCGCAGCAGACTCAGATGGACCTGGCCGAGGAGGCGAAGAACGACGCCAACGCCAGGGCGGCGGCGGACGAGACGTTGGATGCAGCACCCCCAGAGACGCCCTTCAACGCCAATCCACTCTGGGGCTGCGCGAGCGTGGATTGCCCGCTCTCCGTCGACGTGGCTCGTGACGCGGTCCTCTTGAAGACGGGCAAGGCCAAGGTTGCCCTCCCTTTCGCCTCCTCCCTATCCTTACTATCCTCCGTCCTCCCCCATCCCACCCCCCCCTCCACATTCATCTCATATCGCATATCGCCGATCGCCGATCGCCGATCGCCTTTATCCTTCATCCCGCCTCTTGGGAGGGCGGGGGAGGAGGAGCGGCATGGATGTTGGAGGGTGGTGGATGGATCATGGGGGATCGCAGGGCCTGTTTTGGCCCGCTCTTGCTGGCGCCCTTGCCCAGGTTGGCGGGCTTCGCTCGTACAGCGGCCCGTTCAGGAAGCCCATGCGTGACAGGTTGATGGTCCGGGATCAGAACGACATCCCCGCCTCAGAGCAGGTTCGTCATTACCATACCTGCGCCGTGGGGCACCCTGGGGTCTGTAGGGATGCCGACGCCGAGATCTACAAGATGGGGGGCTTCCTTCTCAGCGCGCTCAACTCGTTCGTCGTGTCGCAGGGCCGAGTCGCTGAGGGCCAGGGCTTGTCGCTCAGCGCTCGCAGGAACGGCGTGGACGATCCTCTTCTGCAGATGTGGTTGGTCGTTGCCTACAAAAGGAAGGGGGGCCCGCTCCTGTTTGTGTGCGCTTCTCTGCGTGCCGTTGATGGCGCCGCTGACGTGTTCGACATTGTCACTGCTGATTCCACCATTCCGATGCTTGTGGGGCACTCCATTGTTGGGAGCCTTCTTCGCCTTCGCCCTGATCAGGTGCTCGCGGCATCGATGGAGTTGGCGTCGCTTCCGGGCTTCCTGCTGTGCGTGAGGGTCAAGAGCATCGGCGACGCCGTCGATGTCTTCAGCAAGGAGAAGACCGAGGCCAAGGCGAAGACCATGGAGGCCAAGAAGGATCATAAAGGATGCATGGGCCCGAACTCCTGCTCCCCCCGCGCCCCCTGCACCGATTGCTGGGTCTGCTTGGGTGTCGCCGTCGTCGAGGGTTGCGATCTCCAGCCCATCCACTGAGCGCCAGCCCATCCAGATACCCCCTCAAGCATCGATCCATGAGTGATCTGGATGCTTTCGCCGCCGCGTCTCCTAACCTGACCTCACCAGGAAACGGCTCCAAACGGACCATGGTCCGTTTGGCGTTCCCTGGGGTCGGGTTGGGCTGGCGCGGACGAACGGGGCAGGAAGAGCTTTCGACGCTAGTGGTGGATGAGCTAACGCGTGCTGTTTTCGGGGCCGTCTTGGGATCTTGGGTATAGTGGTGTAGTATTGGGCCTTGGGCATTGTGGCTTGGGTGCCCCTCTTGGGTCTTCGGAGCTCGTCGCGCCCCGGGGCCATCTCGGGGTCGCATTGGATGCTCCTTCGCCAGATGCGGAGCTGGATCGCATGATGGAGCAGGGCTTCGCCGCTCTCGGGGGCGGCGTCGGCGTCGGCAAGAAGGGGCACGGCCCTGGTTGCGAGGGAGTCTCGGCTGCGGGATCGATCTTCCCGACGGTTTCGAAGTCGAAGGTCGACAAGGAGGGCGCCGCGGGCCCCGCTGGGGGCTGCCCCGCGCCGCCGCCCCCGCCGCCGCCGTGGGCCCCTGTGGAGGTGGGCGAGGGCGCCGAGGAAGAGGCCATGGCCAGCGACCCAGATGACATAGTGGGGGGTGGCGTTGTTGCTAAGGCCAAAGGCGCAGGCCTCGCTAAGAAGGCCAAGGCGAGTTACGAGGAATATGAGGTCAAGTCCGAGGATGGCTCCACGGTCGTCGGACAGCTTGTGTACAACAAAAACAGTGGCTCCATAGACGCGCACTGCGCACGCCACAAGGTAGGCGCCACGAAGTGCCATATGAACCGCACCCTGAGGGCCTCGGAGACCTCCGGCAAACTTGCGCAGGGCCGGCCCCTCGGTTTGCTAGTGGCGTGGCTATGGGGCGGGGGCCACGCCGATTGTCGCGAGAAGAAGCAGCACGCCGACCTCCGGACTGGCAAGGGGGAGTTCGCTTATTTAGTCGCTCAGGATAAGCGTTCTCGTGCCAGGGAGCGGGTAGAGTCCGATCCCGCTTTTAAGAACTGGCACGCCCGCGCGAAGTGGAAGGAGCGCGATCGGCGGCCGGGGGAGCCGGCAGAGCCACCAGGTCTTGCGTGACGCATAGCCGCATCGGCGACGCATAGCGCACGCACAGCCGCCTCCCTCGGCCCGCAGTGCCTTGCCTGCCGTCAGCCCCGTCGCCCTGTTTGCCGCCAGCCTCGTCGCTGCTTGTCGCCTGCATCGGCCCGCGTGATCGCACGGCCCGTTGCTCGCGCCACGCGCTGCCCACGTGACCGCGCGTCGCAGGGCAATTCGCACGTCTTCAGAACATCAGACATCGCCATCGCGATTGCCGTCTTGCCGTCATCCATTCCTCCGTTTGCGATTGCGATTGTTGTCTTGCCGTCTTGCCGTGAAGGCACGACAGCGAGGCCGTCGGGTTGGCGATCTCGGCTGCTCGGGCGCTTGTCGGGCTGGCGGTATCAGGCCTCCTCTTCCTCCTGCCCTGAGCCTCGCTGCTGCTTCCTCTTCCTGTGTCCTGACCCTTGCGCTGCTGCGCTGCTGCTGTCTCTCCGGCCCCGTCGGCCTCCTGGGCCCCCCCTGGACGCATCTTTGAATGTGGCCTCGTAGGGGCCTCCTGGCACCCGAACCAGACCATTTCCGCTTGTCGTCTTCCCCTTGCCCCTTGCCTGCCTCCCTCCTCCTCGCATCGCTCTTTCGAGTCATTCGCGCATATTGCGTGCTTGCTTGCTGCCGCCTGCCGTCCTGAATGAAACGGCGGGGTGGCGCTCTCAGACAGTGACATGCCCCCTGGTGTGGTTGTTCCATCCTGGACCGTCGCTGTTCTGGTCGAGGAGCCGGGTCGGCCATCCCCCGGAGCCCCGACCGAAGCCGGCCGTTTTCGCCTCCATTGCGTTGCGGGATCCGGGATGGCGCCGAGGAGGCCGACCGCGAGGGACGCCGCGGGGACTGCCCCCTTGGTCTTTGGGGCCACAAAGCCAAAGCGCAAGAAGGAGGAGGCCCCAGTGCCCGAGGCGAAGAGGTCTGCCCCCCACCGCACGCAGGCCGATGCGGGCGGCGCGGGCGATCGGGCGATGACAGCGCCCGCCAGCGGGGAATCGTCCCAGGCCCCCACCTCAGACGAAGGAGGGCGAGCGGCGGTGATGGCGACGGCGCCCGCCAGTGGGGCGTCGCACCAGCAGCCCACGGCGGACCAGCAGAAGGCCGAGGACACGGTGATCGAGGCAGCGGAGGAGCTGCAGGCGGTCGAGCAGCCCCAGATCACGGAGCCAGAGGCGGTCGAGAAGCCCGAGGACACGGCGATGGCAGCGGAGGAGCCCGAGGCGGTCGAGAAGCCCCAGAACACGGAGCCAGAGGCGGTCGAGAAGCCCGAGGACACGGCGATGGCAGCGGAGGAGCCCGAGGCGGTCGAGAAGCCCGAGGACATGCCGGTGGCGAAGCCCGAGGACATGGCGATGGAGCCCGAGGCGGTCGAGAAGCCCGAGGACATCGCGCCGGTGGCGGAGGAGCCCAAGGCGGTCGAGACGCCCGAGGCGGTCAAGGAGGCCGAGGCGGTCGAGAAGCCCGAGGCGGTCGAGAAGCCCGAGGTGCCCGTAGCCGCCGTGGCGGCGGCTGTCGGAGCCGAGCCATTGGACCCTGCCAGTGCCGCCGATGCCATCGCGCAGGCCTGTGACAACCGCGCTCTGCGCGCTGGAGGTTTACTCGTCGCCCCGGGGCCGCAGGCGGTCG